GGCTTTAATATTGTTACTTTTTACTTTCTGTTATATCTTAGATTAGATACTCACATGTCCGAGGTGAGCGCGGAGACTTGCGACGCGCCGCTCAGCATTAGTACAAGGGCCACGGCGCGTGCCACCACGCATGACCAACCCATATTAGGACATCTGGAATAATAAGAACCTTTTCAACTTACCCACATTATACAGAAGATATAAAAAGCAATGTCATTATTATCCAAATTTCCCAATTCTTTACTTATAATTTTTAGCAGTTTTAAATGTCATTCAAAAACAGAAGTATTTATTTTGTGTAACCTTTTCTATCTACCTACGTTATTGAACAAATTCGAAATTCCGATGGTAAAACCCGATCCGGTCAGTTATGAAAATGTCCAATATTCCCTGCAGATCCCAGGAAAAGGGTTCCGCCTAGAGACATTGCTTTATAAACAGAATATGACAATTATTAATGTTTTTCGTAACAGTTGTAATTTTGTTATGTTTTGGGTTAAGGTTGGAAAAATATTTGATTTTTAACACAGACATGGAAATATAAAACATACATCTTACTAATATTATAAATGCGAAAGTTTAGATGGATGAATGGATAGATGGTTTGTTAGAGTTTGAAGCCTAAACGGCTGACCGGATCTCGATTAAATTCGGTATAGACGTGGAGGATAATCTAGAAGAATATATAGAATACTCGCGGGCGAAAGCTAGTTAGTATTATGATTTATGCGTTTTATTCGACTGTACCATGATTTTAATTTGTGACATTTAAAAAATGTATAGACTAGGCATTTTGACATCGATTTAGACAAAAGTGCCACACATTATCCTGAAAATTGCTATATTAAATATTTCAGGGTAAATATACAGCAAAATAGAATTAATGGTACGTAATTACGACTTATAAATAAGTTTATAACAACACAAGTTTAGCGTGTTTTAGTCAATGTCGAGTTAGAATGCATAATTTTTAACAAATGTTCTGTTTTAGTGGTAAAACAGAGTAATACACGAATGTATGGCGTGAGGCAAGGACAGCTATGAACGTGATACTTTTTGCTGTACAACTGAAAACGTGGCCTAGTTTTTTCCTAACCAATATAATTGTTATGACGTCTATAAAGTTATAATCTAGGGCTGCGTCAAACTATCTTCTTGATATCGAATATTCTGAACTGTACAAAGTTTTATTAAAAAAAAAAATATTTTCTTTAAAACATAGTCTACAATTATTTACACTGTTGTATTTCTATATCCAAGTATTTATTATGATACATCTTACTAATGTACTAAAATTTGTTTGTCATTTTCTACATTGTTTTTTTTTATCTTTTTAAAAAAAAATTATATAGCTTTCGTTATAGTTCAATTTATTGTTGATATAATCTCATATGTAAACCTGTGCGCAAGACTGACGGGTAGGTAGGGGTCAATTCGCATGCGGCCGCCCCTAGGGACATCACCGGGTCGAACCACTTTATCAACTTTAACAATTGAATGGAAACTTGCCTCGTGCCTAGGTAATTGAATTTTATAAAGCAGCAAAATAACAAAAAAACATCTTTTAAAAATTTTAAATATTCGAACTACCAATAAATAAATACTTGGCAAGATTATATACTCGTAAACTTTGTTATCGATCTGATGTAGCTTGGATGTATAGCTAACTTTTAAGCACGGTTCACACTTGGCCAGTCTGTTGGTCAATAGCGCTCAATAACTGGACTGTCAATCAACTGCTACAGTGTGAACGGTAACTGGTCCCAGTGAGTCTATAAATAATCTATGATTAGCCGTCTAAACAGTTTAATTGTACGGGCCAAGTGTGTACCGTGCTTTATGAAATAATGTAAATTGTAATTGTCGGTATCTGTAAATATGTGTTGAGGGTAGAGAATAAGAGATATTAAATGAGTCAGTCTGAATCTGTCAGGTATTTTATTTGTTGAATTAAAATGTTAGGTGAATGAATATATCTTCACACCTCTCCTACGTTATAAATAATAAACAGAAGCTTGTTTTTTTATTATGTGTTTCCGCTCATCGACATTATTAATTGTAATTGTTTTCGTAGGTACCTTTCTGCTGACTGCAGAGTGTTGTCGGCATGTGGAGAGATGATTAACTCGTCCACGATCTCAGCATCCGCCGCCACATGTCGCAGCGAACTTCTGCAAGGTAAGATAACACATTATTTAGTTTATAGTTCAATTTAATATTCGATATCGAACCATTTTTATTAATCTTACTAATTTTTAATTAACAACGTTGATTCTTTTAGTTAGTTAACTTATCTAAATATTGCAATAACAATCTAGATACATAACCGTTACAAAGTATTTAAAATTATCTTCTTATCGATCTTTGAACTTATAACAACTTTGTTTTATTGTTAACATTTGTGAAATTCTCAATTGCAAATGTCAAATTTACCGTTACCAAAAAACCTTACTTTATGGTCCCTTTCCTACATGAAGGTTGTTTTTCCAATTAATTTACCCCCTAAGTTTAATAGCATAAAAACATATAGCCTAAAGCATGTCGTAAGTGTAGGGCTTTTATTTAAGAAAGAATTATTAAAAAAAATATTTTGTGATTGCTGACATCCTACGCCACAAAGTAGTGTGTGTTTACGCTTTATTACATGAGTATAGAAATATAGATTAGACCTAGAATAAGATTAGGCAAAAATAGGTCACGCAAACATACTAGAATAAAAATCAAACATATCGACTGTGACGTAAACCACGAACTTATAATGGTTAATAAGTTAGCAAGAATACTTTAGAGTGTATAATACAGAAAATATTTTGTTTTTTTTTTGCAAGTCGGGAGATTGAGTTCATAAAATTTCCGTCGCTTCTGTTATTAAACAAAAATGTTTATGCGAGGAAATAAAAAGTTGCGGGCGGTCCGCTGCCGCCCTAAGACGATTATGTTAATTTCGGTTTTGTCTGAAACCTTTGGGAAATTGTTCCCTTTTTAAGAACAATAACTTATACAAACGAGGTAGAAATGTGATTAAGGCTGTTCCATTACACTGTTGAGCTTCTTAAACAATGAAAGCTTTGTAATTATTAATACATTTCAAAATCCATTGTAAATTTACTTCTTACTTGCCTATATTATAAATGCGAAAGTTTAGATGGATGTTTATTACGAATTTGCCGTGTACACAACGGAACGGATCTCGATGAAATTTGGCATTAATGCGGAGTATAGTCTAGTTTACTACTTTTGTTTTATTTATTCCAGGCGGACGGAATCGCAGGTAAAAGTTAGTAATTACATACTTTAGACCGGCTTAATTGACCGTTTTTAATTTAATTTGAATTTGATGTGCCTATTTGAAGTAAAGTATACAAAAATGATAGAACGACACGATGTCTATTCTGGTTAGAAATATTTTTTCTCTATCTAGATATTTTCCTCCAACGCTCATAAAACTGGCTGAAGAAGGCTGAATTGTAGCCGCATTTTGGCGTGAACAGTTAAAATATATTGCCGAGAGTATACTGTTCAAGAGTTTATCTTCCGTTACATGTAACATTAGAAAAAAATATACTAAATGTTAATATACAATGGTAAACAAACTTTAAGGTTTATAAAAAAACGTATCCAATTTTACTCGTTAATTATATAAATGCGAGTGTTTGGATCTACGTAATTTCTGTAAGTACTTAAGTAATAATTTTGTCTGGGTTTTGATTTTTTGACACGCAATTGGCGTTGCCTATTTATTTCTTTCTAGCATTTTCTGTTAAAACGTTAACCTAAAACAGACTAGTTTAATGGTCACTAAATGCGTCCTAAAACATAATTTGATAAATATGAAAAATCCACACTAAGGGACAGCTAATGTATGGAACTCTGAGTGTGACAGAAATTAAATTAAAGTCCATTAACAGGCATTAAAGACTTCTGTCACGTTTACATTGCTTGTCATGCTCCCAGCGGCGTCTCCAACTTTGTTTTTACGTCTGTCGTAAAGCCGAAAGGAACAAGTTTTGATGCCTGGAACAACTTCTGTGACGTGACAGTTTTCACAACATCAACATTATTTTATAACGAATTTCAAAGTAAATTTACAGACTATACAGCGTTTAGTAAATTTTAATTATATATTTAACAGTATAATATCTATGCTTAAAATTATCCTGTCAATTAGTTTCATTGCGCAGTTCCCAATGAACGTCTTTTATATTGCCTTTTATAAGTTCGCAATATCATTCTTACGCATAAGTAAGCTATCGTGACGCTAATTTAGAAATGTCATATTGAATGAATTGTCTCTTGAACAAATTTCTTTTTTTTTATATATCCTAAATATGCGTTATCAAAGGATAAGTCAATAAGTTTGTATTCGTTTTGCAATGTTATAATAGACGTTTCAAAGAAAACGGGAATCATAAAACTACTTCAGCTGTTTGAAATTTAATTAATAAATTAACATTTCATTCAAGACACGAAGCAGTCCTCGGCAAGTCTGCATAATATAATATGTTTAAAAATTCACGTTCTTTTGTTTTTATTGCCTTCGGACCGAAAAAGAATTATAAAGAGAAATTCATCTCATACAAACAAAATGAGATAGATAGAAATAACAGTTACTGTTAACTTTATAAAAAAAACTTTTATATTTGGAACTCTATAAAACTACTAAAATGTATGAAATTATAAAATTATAGCAGTCGGTAAAACTGTTATGTTTTTCAACGCTCACACCATCATCATCATCATCATCATCATCCACTTGACCTTATCTCTTACGGAGGGTCGGCACACTATGTGCTGCTTTTCCATACATCTCTATCAGCCGTCATATTTGAATATCTTTTTCAACGCTCACGTAAAGTTAAAATTACTTTTGTTTATGTTAGTATGCAAAACAAGCTATAATTATTTCCCATCGGAACAACAGAGTTCTCAAGAAGTAGTGCAGCTAATTAGCTCAAGCGCGTGCAATTACTCACATAATTCCGTTGTTCACGAGAGTCTTAAAATTATGACCTTTATGAATTGTGGAACTACAAAAATATATTATATTTATTTTCATAAAAAACGTAAATTCAGAAGACTGGTGACTACGAAGAGTGTATTTATCTAACATCAGTATAAAATATGAATTTGAAATAATTCTAAATTAAGCATTATGAAAAACTGCATGTAAAAAGATGTATTTAATAAATTTAGTATAAAAGCGTTCAGATAATGTGCAAAGAGCATAATATAATTGAAAAGTCAACATAAATGACCAGGGTCATTAAACCGCTGTCTTACTGGAATCAACGCAACCAATCAAATGGGAAAGCCGCACGCCATTTAGGCGACGTAAGCCACGTCGTATGTTCTGTTCCAATATTCAAACACGACCGGAATATCTAAGAACGCGTTCTTCTTGATTTGCATAATATGAAATGTTCATACGCTTTGCTGAGATACTCGTACTAGTACGCTTATACGATACTGAACCGAAAATTTACATACCAATAGTGACAGTTGATAGATATCTCATAACCTATTTTATTCTGCCATTTTGTTTTCTCTTTAAACTGTAAATCTTAAGCCCCTTTACACCTTCAGTTTGATCTGCTCAGTCGAACTGAAGAAGTACAGTTAGATCTGAAGATATTTCGCGGGCTTAAAGATAATACATTATTTAAATTATGAAGTATGCCAATCTATGATAAAACAGTGAAGAATTTTAAGAAGAACTTAAGCGTATAAAGTCACATAAGACACTAATGCTAGGTTGCTGTAGTTTCCATTTATGTATTCTATCATTACTCAATAATTAGATATTGTTTGGTTCACCTAAGTTTCAACGGGGTAAAATTCAAGTTACGTAGTTCGGAAATATTTCATGAAGTTATCTAACGAAAAACACTAACGAATGGTTAAATGAAGCTAGGAAGTTAGCCATAATATAAACACTTAAATTAAAAATAACATTAAATTTAAATAAAGGTTGTTTTGTGTATTGGGATTAAAAAGAATGGCTCTAAAAGTTATCAGATTAGAAGTAACATAGTGACTTGCACAATGTTTCTTTTAGCCAGGAACTTGATATTGGTTATAATTTGTATGTTGTTGCGTGTCGTCGTTCATTTGTTCCTAATGTTTTGGGTCATTTAGTGTTTCCGTGATCTGTATAACCCTGAAAATGGGGCGTCGGTCAGCTATTAGCAGGCGTGAAATGTTATTTTTTCTATAACGGTCTTATTCCTTCAAAGTTGCTAAGAACAAGTTTAAAAATGCACATTATGATATGATATGGAAACTTGTATTCCATTTTTATACTTTATATGGACTTAATATATGAATAAAAAATAATAATTGACTATATTACTTTTTTATTACATTTTTTCCTTAAAAAATCGTCTCAATATATTAAATAATACATACGTTTCGTTGCGTTCACGAAATTTCTAGAAATTACTGAACCCAGAAATTAATGGCTCGTTAAACATTTGTAGAAAAAAGCTGACCGCAATTATTCCGTACGTACAACGGAACGCTTTAAGCCTCAGCAAACATAATAAACGTTTGCGAGCCCCGCAAAGCTTTTGATAACATTTGCTCTACATTAATTTTTGCAAGAGTTCGGTGTTAACACAACTCGGTATTCGAAATTAATTTCAGTAATATAATTTTATTACGTCTTAATAATAATTATTCTAGATTTACTTTTAATTGTAATATTAATCTGCAAAAGAAAGACCACGCGATGCTTTAACCTTAATAGAAGAAATGTGATTTATCGTTTTCGTAATCTCTTTAAAAATCACAAATGTTTTTAACCGTGCAAAAATTATCGTAACTTGCCTTCGTTAATCAAAGAAATAATCCGTACTAAACCGCAAAAACAGATAATTCAATTCTAGTATCTCAAGGGAATAAATGTTCCTTTCAAGTACATCTCTTTGTTAAAATATACTAGCCCTTGTTTCTGTTATTAAAATGGAATATTAAAGGTATGTTGTTTTAGAAGTCCTTGTGAAAACGTCATATAATTTGACGGTAAATCTTGTTAAATATTGTGTTAAAAATCTTTCTGTAGATACTTACAACAATTTAATAATTCAAAAAGTCTCCTACTACGTTTTGTTCCAGTCCGCTTGTTATATTTTTCTAGTTAAGTTGTCACAAGGTCTGCAAGGGCGGATTAACTTATTTTCAAGGTTGAATCCAATAAAAATAGAACGCTCGGTAGTGTAAATAAAATGTGCATAACGTCTTAGTCATATCGAGATAGACTTTTCTTGCCTTTTCATTGGCTTCATTAGATAATCCTAATTTAACCTACATAGCAATGTCATTGGTAATAAGGTATTTTCATTGAAATATGAAGTAAGTTTAGGCAGTTAATTAATAGTCAATAAAAACTATAGAAAAGGGTAGGTACATACTCATTATTTATACTAATATTTTAAAGATTTGTATTTTTGTATGTATTGAAATAACTCAAAAAATGCCTAGTCGATTTCAAAAATTCTTTCACAATTAAAAAGCTACGTTATCAGTGAGTAACATAGGCTGTGTTTTTTTGTTATTTTTTAATTTCATGCGGGCGAAGTCGCGATCAACAACTAGTGTACAAAACTTAGAGCATGGTAACACAGAGTTAAATAAAAAAACAATTAAAAAAGAATATAACACGGAAGTATTTATGGTGAGTTAATCCGTGATTTTTAATTAGTGTAGTATAATATCCCACGAAAGTTTTAATAAGTGAACTTTAGTAATATCTAGTCATCTATTTAGCTGTTGCCGGCTTGCAGCAATCTCTGTTACAGATTGTATTACAAAGTTTGTTATCAATATCCGACAATTTTAAGAGGATTGTGTAGTTGACCCTTGTTACAGAATTTGTTAATATCTACTCCATAGGGGATTTCAATTTTTTTGTAATAATTTGACTGATTTACGAGTTAGAGTACAATTTTAATATTAAGTATTTGCGTAGGTTTATTTTTAAAGTATTAAAACGATTTTTATTTTATTTTACAAAAGAAAAACCTAAGGAAATAGTACATTAAGAAGTAAAACTATTATTTAATAATGGCTCTGAGGCTATTATGTCAGTTCACCATTGTCAGTAAAGTATAAAACTTTTCTTTTAGTAAATCTTTGTAAGAAACATGTTTTTTATACTTTAAAAGAGCGATCGTATACATCAATTATTATTTCAAATGTGGAAGATAATTAATCTGTTTATCTTTTGTTTTTCATTGGAGTATTTGGTAAAAATGTGTTAGAAATATTTAGCTATATGCTACGTGCTACGAATTACTATAAAAATACTTCTAAAAGAAACGTTGTCACAATTAATTCGAAATAAACTGTCGTATAACATTAACTGTCTTCGATACTAAGTTGAAATCGTTTTAGTTTCGTTATAATCGCGGTAATATTTTTTACTGTTAGGACAACTTAGTTAAAAAGTTCTTTAATGAGTTTGGTTCATGAAACATTGTATTTTTTGCGTATAATTTAAAAAGGTATGCGTGTTCTGAATTTTTTTGTATAACTTCGTATTTTTATTATTGTCACATTAAATTATTATTTACTTAATAGTCCCGTTATAAAATATATGTGTAACTAATTAGACATGTAATTTCGAAAGAATAAGACACTTAATATAACTAAATGAAATATATTTTAATCTGTAGAGTTGTTAAAATACTTTGGGAGAAATGGTTTCTTATTTATGTGTTACATAATAAGGCAAAGTCCATAACTTAAGCGCTGAAAGTGGGTTAAATGAAGCTTGTGATTTATTTTGAACGGCCGACCGACGGGCGCGTTGGCTTTTAAGTGAAGCAGTCTTGTGTACTTATGTAGACGATGTGTTAAGTTTGCTTAGCCTAGATATACCATTGTTAATGTTTTTGTAAAATTTATTAAAGCTTTGGTAGTAATTATATCGGAGGAGAGATATACCCTACAGGGAAAGTTAAATTTTAAGCGAATCTCTTTAAAATAAAAAAGGAAGCAAAAACGCGTAATTCTTATGATAAATTTTGGTTTGTAATCAGTGAATTTCTCTGTTATTTATATGAAATTTCGTTGATAGAGATAAACAAAGGCTGTGTTTTGAACGTATGTTGCGTTGTCATAGCTTCTCATCCACCATTCATGAGTATCCGAGGAGCGGATGGATCGACTCCGTAATAAAACGTTCCGCCTATGAAATATTCAACGACTACTGCAACTACCAATGCTGGTAACACAAACGATTTATTCTAGTGTCAAAGTTCTTGTGTGTTCAACATTTACAAATTCTGCACGATGAGAGGCTACAGCTGGAAGCCATTTGAACTGTTAATTTAACTATAAATTGTTAAAAAAAAATGAAGAACAGAAACCAGTTATCTATTATAATAACGTCTAATATTCAAGTTTGTCTTGTTCATTTTACATTTTGAAATAATTTTATAAGTAATAAGGTATTTTAGATATTTAAAAATGTTTATTTCAAAGCTTTTCTGTGTATTGCTACCATTAGATGCCGTGTATATGAAAAATGTTGTATGAAAAATGGACAAGAAATGCTAAGTGCTTTAACACATTTCTGTTTTTAACGTATCATGGTACACGTAATGTGCTCCGGCATTCGCTGCCGAGATTCACAAATAAAATATAAATACTTATCTGCTTTCATGGTACCTTTTTATGTATTAAATATTTACAAGTTTGATACCGTTGTTGAATTTTGTACTTTCTACCTGAAAACAGATGTTTTGCGTGGGTGTGCTGCGTGTCTAAATTAGTGATTTGTTAGTAAAATAACAGTCAAATATTTATGAAAGTGTTCATACTTCAAAGAGGCCTAATAAGCACGGTAATTCTAAATGTGGTTCCTTCGAAGAATTGTCATTTTATCCTAACTAAATAACGGGCTGGTTCAGTAATTACTATTGCCATAACATCTGAATTCAGTCTCTCTTTACGCATAATCCTCTTTCATAAAATGCTTCGAGATATCATTATAAAAATTTTGTAAATCCAAGTGTAAATATGCCAAGGACGGCTAACACATTAGAGGCGAACGTCGGCGGCATACAGTCGGAACTTGTCGCGAATTAATCTATGCTACGCAGTGTTGCACCGTGTCGCATTAATTCTTGTTAAACTTAATTAAGTATGCGCGAGGAAATGTATTTAAAATTATGTTACGATTAATGTGCGTGAAAATGGAGTATATTTAAGTGTAACGTCTGATAGGGTTGTAGAGATAGTAGACGATGATATAACGTGTGCTTTATGATAAGAAAATTAAACTATCAAGTTTAAATTCTATTCAACAAAATATATTTCAGTTTTAGTAGCACTTTCTATTTTGTTATCGTTAAGTTACTACGGTTACTTTGAGTGTGATATTGTGATAAGTCCGGTACTTGACGTTTACTTCAGATACGGAACGGATCGATGTGAGAGCAAGCGGAGGCTTTAAGGATTATAGCACATTGTGAGATCGTGGTCTACTTTAAACGGAACAATGTCTTCTGTAATATTAACTGGATTTAAATTTTAACGTTGTAAATGCTTCTTATTACACTTTTATTAACAAGATTACGTTTCATTTACATAAAATATGTTTTATTTTGCACATTTGTGTAATACTTTAACCTAACCTTTAATAAAAGATATTGTAGACTGATAATATTCCAAAAAAACATTCGTAAAATCCTTTTTTCAATATTAGATATAAATAAAACTTGTTGAACAAAGTGCAACGAATTTTTTTAGACTATTATCGCAATCTCATAAGGTTACAGATTGTTGTAATTTTACAAATCTAAATATGCTTCCTTATAATATACTTAAACAGTATGCAAAAATGAATGGCATACTATTTGTAAAAGAGGTCAGATTAATATCCATTTCCCTTGTTGAGGGTTTCCTAAATACGAGCCGGCCTTTTAATAGCCGGCTAAATACAAGCTGACAATCGATTAGTGGGGTAATATGTCGATGTCATGGATGAGATTGGGCGCTCCAATATTTGTTTTATAACCAGTTAAAAGGCGCCAATTAATATTTTCGCATGTGGAGATTTTTAATTTTATTCTGTTATATACGGAAAACAAAAGCCTACGTTTATTTACCTCGAAGGTTAAATTTGACGAAGGAATAAAAATCATGCTTACCTCAAGTTATTAAGAAAATCTCGTGAACATTGTAAAGGTAGAGTGGAGATCTATTCTCTAAGAATCCTCGTAAAATATTGAATAATTCAGTCAGCAACATTTTGTTTAGCCCTTCGACCTTGATGAGGAGATTTTCAATTCAGTCGGTGCAATCCCCGGAGAGGGAATACGCAGATGAAAAACATTCCCCGTGTCAATTCGCGAATGTCTTTAACGAGTTTCGTGTTTGGATTAATTGGATTTTTTATTAGTAAGCCACGGAACAAAAACAAAAAGTACAATGTACACCAAACTCAATCGCGAAAATGCTAAATGACATACAGAGGTGAAATCTATCATAGTTTGAGAAACATTATTAAATTGGAATAGGTGGCTAAGAAGATCTTTAACTACATAAGTGTAATTATTGTTGATAAGAGGATTATATCGTCTTAGAACAACTCTGTATTATTTGCTTCGTCTTTCTTGTACTTTTTAATCTCGTTTTTTAAATTCTGCTGTTGGTTGTACTCGTAATAGTGCAAAAATTACTTGTTTTAAGGAAAAATCAGTGAAATTAAAATAATTCTTTGTTAGTGTTTTTAGAAATTTAAATAAAAACAATGCTATTGTGGATGTATACTTTTTTCTATTAAGTATTGTTTGCTTACTCATTTTTCCAGTGTCATAAACAGAGTACTAAATTTCGTATAAAAGAGGTGCCTTTTTGCGAGCATTAAACACATATGAAACAAAATGTCTACTCGTTGGTCAGTACGGCGATAAAATGAATACAAATCGTCGACCCGAGCTCGTTTTGTACAACCTTAAATTAACCTAGAAAACAACAACTTATGTTTCTACACAAAGCATCGCCGGCTTGTGTTTGCCACTTTTTTTTCATTAACTGGAATAAAATTAAACATTAGTAGAATGAGAATTCCTACCAGTTGTTTTTGAAGATTTCTTACATAGTGTTATATTTTTTTTAGAAACGGGAGCTCAGGACTGGCGGGAACATCGACATGGTCATCGATGCCTATAGAAATCCGCAACACCATAGAAAATGCTGTCGCGTTGCGGGCCTTTGAGAAAGAGAAAATGTTTTTAGTTCTATCTGGCCGATATTTAGTAAGTGTCAGTCATAATGTTTTTCCTACTCAAAGCGTAATTTTGATCGATTATAACCTTTTGAACGCTCCCATTAAATGCCCTTTCAATAAGTAGTGGAAATGTCAGGTCTTTTGTAAGCGTACATTTGTTGGGGGGATTCTAGGACATAAATTTTATTTATGCGATGCCAGCTAAACTCTGCATGCGTTGAAGTACCAAAATTCAAGTTTGCTGATCTTATTTTAAGTATACTATTCATACTTATATTATAAACAAGCTTTCGCCCACGACTCTATCCGCGTTATATTAAAAAAAAAAACAAAAATAGGTAGCCTATGTGTTCTTCCATTCTCTGCTCTACATTTATGCAAAATTTCATCCAGATCCGTCCAGTCGTTTAGGCTACAAACTCTAACAAACATCCATGCATCTAAACTTTCGTATTTATAATCTTAGTTAGATGTGAAAGTTTAGATGAATAGATGGATGTTTGTTAGAGTTTGTAGCCTAAACGACTGAACGGATCTGGATGAAATTTTGCATAGATGTAGAACATAATATATATCATATTACTATCTGGAAGAAAAAATAGACTACTCACTTTCTTTAATTCCATGCGGACGGAGTCGCGGTCAAAAGCTAGTCATGAATAAAAATAATTATAACTTGATTAAACGTGTAATATAATTTGTTAAAATATTGTTCCAAATTTGAATTGAATGGCTCAACTTGACCTATATCAATTAAAACATACTAAACAAAATTCTGGCATCAAAATCACATCTAGACTTGGCTTACTGTTACAGTTCTTGTTTTCAACTTAAAGTGCTTTGAACAATCCAACTGCTGTAGGGGCTTGAAAGAAAATAGTTATAAAAATCTATTGTTAGTTTTGACAAGTAGTAAAAAAGTAAATTTGGTTCAATAGAAAATAATTAATACTAGAGTTAATTGTACCAAAGAAGTTTGCAATTTTGTTTGCAAAGTATAACCATTAATTTTCCGTGACGTTCATTAAAAAAGTTCACCTATAGTTTTCTCTCGTGAGCATAAATAAATTAAAAGCTGAGTTAAATCAAAGCCAAGAGGTATGCGAGTATGTTGCTTGACTTCACATTGCTTGTATTTTTTTTTTGATATGTGTAGTTTGCATCACGATGTTTTCCGTCAACGTAAGAACGTTGGGTAAATATAATGTGTTTAATTGTGTAGAAATGTTTACTTGACCAAATATAGTTTCTGTTAGTTTCTCTTGGCGCGGTCGTTAGGGATTATAGTTATAGGTACTAATTAGAAAAGTTATAAAGGCAGAAGCCCTTGTCAGTTATAATGGCGTGAGCAGTGAACAGGGTCGCGCCGGCGGTCACGGGCGCCCCAGCCAACTTGGCAAGCAGGCTTGGTTAATTTTATCGATTTACATTATTATTTTATTAAAAACCCTCACTTGCATATTTTCGTATTCACATAAGCAGTTACAACCAGTTTAGTTTTATTTCGGTAATCAAAAATGTTTGATTAATTAAATTTTGGCACCACGATAAAGTTCGTAAAGCTTGTGTTTTCGTTTGACTCGTTTTAACGTCGGCTAATTATTTAGGTTACGGGGTTCGAAAAGTACTTTTTTTAATCTACGGCAATTGTTCATAGTAGGTATATTAATTCGTTTGCCCACTAACTTAGTTAATAAAAATAATATTCAAGATAATCAACATTTTTTTACGATTTTATTTTTTTAACATCATTGTGATGTCTTCAAGTTCGATGTCTGAGTCCTTTTGGTTATGGCTTTTAATATTGTAAATACCGTTGTTTCTTCCGGTGAGTGAAATAGCTAAGGAACTAATTTGATCCTTGTCTGAGATTCAGAAATTTTCATAGGATAAATAATTAAAAGGAAGCGCAGTTCATAAAAATATCTTGAATATGTATTTTTTGGTTTGTGTTCAATAACTCGAAGTACCAAGACTCTTTTCTACCTTAGTTAAAACATTAAAGAGAAATGAGACTGGATAGAATAAAGTGTTATTTATAGCTTCGGAAGTGGACACATGTTTTGGCACATATCCGACCTATTTAAAAATAGACGTTAAAGTCGATCGAGTTCCGATGGCCGCTTTGTCGTCCGAGGTCTTTGTAATGTAGCGGTTGTAAAAATGGTCTTTTTGATGGATGAGCTTGTAGTTATTTCCTAGAATATTGAGCTAAATGAAAGTTAATTTGATTAAACTAAATGAAGTTAATTTTTCGCTAATGATTATGTATGTATGATTATGTAATGATATCGATTGGGATTATTGCTTGAAACATTTTGCATTAAACATTAGAAGATTAGAATTGATTTTTTAGTTATCATTTCAAAAGCTTTTAAGTGATTGCTTGAACATATTTTGCTTTCCAATTTTACAAAACATCTGCATGAATATTACTTAACTGAAAATGCTATTTACTGTATTGCGAATTGCGAATCGTACAATAAAATGGTTGTTTCCTTATCTTTAAATGGACTTATATGTAATGAAAATTCAATTCCATATTTCATCTTCTGCACTCGCGATTAAATTTATAAATATTACAAAGTAGATTTGGTTCTTTGTGTGTATTTAACTATAAACTATAACTTAAAAACTAATGGATTTCAATAACCGATTTCAAAAATTCTTTCACCATTAAAAAGCTACGTTTATTGATTACTATGTTACCATAGGTTATATTTTTATTTTTTTTAATTACACGCGGGCGAAGCCGCGGGCAACAGCTAGTCGTAAATAAACATTCCCTACAATTAGTGCACGTTTTCAAAACACTCTGTCGCATTAAAATTAAGCATATTGGATATGTACAAGCTAGCGGTAACTATTTTTAGTTTAGTCTATGTATTATGGCATAAGTTTATTTACGTATAAGTTATACGTCTTCTTATATAAGAGGTGCAAGTAATTGGAATTACAGTATAGTCTTGGTTAGTACATTGTTTTAGTTCATTACCCTAAGAAATATTTTATCGAGTTCTTCCAAACAGTAAGTTACTTGGATACTTCTATACTAATATTATAAAGAGGAAAGATTTGTATTTTTCGATATTTGTATGTATTGAAATAACTCAAAAACTACTGGACCGATTTCAAAAATTCTGTATTATCACTGAGTAACATAGGCTATATTTTTTACTATGTTTTTAATTTCACGCGGGTGCAGTCGCGAGCAATAGCTAGTCTTTTATAGAATAAAAATACAACTTAGTTCTTGTTAAGTAAAACGAAACTAGATTAGACTTTTCTATCTATTCATCCTTGTGAAATTATGAAAACACTTGGAAAATGTGGTTATCTTGTATAATGGTTACAATATTATTCTTTAAATATTTAGAATATTATCATGGCTTACTTAAAAATGCCTTGATTACAACATAGCATTGATTTTTATACCTTTGCAGTATTTTGTATAAATACAAAGTACACAAAGGAGTAAATCAGATTTCTCGTGCAAATGTATACCGAGAACAATACTTTGTATTGTTTTTTTACGAGCGAACGCTGCGTGAGGCAATTGGACCTTATGATACACGTAATGCGGTTTCTTTACTGAAAAACGGATTTATGACAAACGTAAGTAATGTATGTGTGTAATCTTAACTGCCTTATATTTATTTGGTTTATTTATATGTATTTTTATTTATTATTAATCTAACTAATATTATAAATGCGAAAGTTTAGATGGATGGATGGATGGATGTTTGTTAGAGATTGTAACCTAAACAACTGAACGTATCTCGATGAAATTTGGTATAGACATAAAGGATAGTATGGAAGAATACATACGTAAAAAATAAACACATACGTTACTCGCTTTAGTATTATTTCATTCCAAGCGGATGGAGTCGCGGGCGAAAGCTAGTATTTTATACGTATACAAATTTGTCATATTTCTTCCTTAATTTGACTATTTAGCTTAGCTAGCTTCATAACATGAGTAAGATATTAATTGATTTAGTGTTATTTTATTGATATTAATAGGGTCAACGTAATGAAATAATTCCATAATACCAACCTAAATACCTCCAATTATAGTAGGTTAATATAGCCTAGTGGTCTAAAGTTACGTTACTCTGTAGGTAATTCTGCAGTTGCAAGAGCATTATTGTATTTCTTTCCTTCAATGTGAAACGTGTTCGCGTCATAAGATGTAATGGAACTCAGCACACTGTTGGCAAAGCATACACATTGTTGTATGACGCAGACTAATGGTACGAGCTTTATGGCAATGTTATTACAAGTTAATAATCTGGGCTGTATTACGTTTTCAGAATAATTTTTGATTTACTCTTTTCGTTTATCATTTTACAATTTAATAGCAATCTATGATTAAACCAATAAGTAAGCTGTTAGTTTGTTTTTTTTTAATCACAAGTTTGAACTGATACTTGATAGTGCGTGGAGTTAATCAAAACGCATTGGGACAGTGTGGTTGATTCTGTCTTAGTTAACCCTAATTTAATACTTGACAAGTCTACACTACTATTTATATTCTATCAATACTGTTAAGATCTTGTGTGAAAGCTTATGACCGTTAATTATTTTTTCATCTCCTTATTCTACTTACGTAGGATCTGCGCTCCAGGTTTTCGTTCTACATATTTACCTGATTCGTTAATCTATCTTAAGTCGCTTCCTTTGATAACGCAATTTGTCTGTCTAAGTAACTAAAAATACAAATTATGTTGCATACCTACGAGTAATAGAAGCAATACAACATACCAGTAATTAATTCAATTAAATTGGCATATATGAGCATGTTTCTTACTGAAATTTGAATAATAGGTTAGCATAGAATAGGAAATTAAGTGTACAGCTCACATATCGACCCAAATTCTAGACGTCTAGGCGGCAAATAGACGTTGCCGTCACATTCAGACTTAACTAAGACTGTTCTAGTTTTATACTTTTTGTGCTATTTCTTTTATTCGCTATTCGTTTATTTGACTTTCTTGTTTGTCATATGATAGAAATAAATGTACGCAA